TATATATATATATATATATATATATATATATATATAACTTTACAAATGTAAATAATAATCAATTTTTAATATTTAACAATTTTTAAATTAAATATAATTAATAACTTAAATAATTTTTAAATTTCAACAATACAAAAAGTTATTAATATTCAAAATTAAATAGAAGAGGAGAAAATAAAAGAAAAGTAAGAAACATACTAAATGTTCTTCCAACACATCCGCATTAACTACCTTTGAATGACAGCACTTCAAGCAAGGGCAAATAATTCTACTAGGATCTTTTGCATGCTCAACTGCAAATCTACGAAACTCTTTCACCCCATCTTCATATTCTTTTGACAATCGACTAGCAGACATCCATTTTCGATCCATTTTTTCTTGATCTATCATATTAGTCATTGATAATATTTACATCAATGTTAACATCTAATCACATAAATGCATGGTTTTAAAAAAATTATTGTTTATCTATACTTTTCATACATCAAATAATAAAATAAAAAAGAAAATTCTTTAAAGACTTACCTTAATATTTTAAATCTGTAAAGGAAAAACTTTCAACAAGTACAATAAGGCCTTCAATCTTTTCAATAGTAGTTGCAAGTTCAACAATATCAACCTGCCATAAGATAAAATTAAAGTAGAAATTTTAAAATAATTTTTTGACAATTAAAGTGATTATAATCAACTAGTTAATGATAGTAGTAATAATAATAAATATTAAAAAATAAATTTTAAAAAGTGACTTGTTTAAGAGAAAAATAAATTTTTTTAATTAAAAAGTAGTAATAATAATAAATATTAAAAAAAGTGTCTTAGCCAAAATCGCAAACCAGTTAAAGTCAATAATTTTGGAAAGAAAATTTAAACATATATAATAATTAATATATTATCATCACTACTAATAATATTGTTCTTGAATCAAAATTAGTTATCATATTTCATTTTGTTAAATTGCTGTTGGCTTTTCAAGGTAACCATACATTTTATCTTGGTAACAAAAATTGGTACACCAATAATTAGGAAAATAGTGCCACCGATATTTATGATGTGCTATATATTATATTCATAAAATATGAACCTGAATTAAAATAACCTTTTTTATTTATTTATATTAAAATTGGTACACCAATAATTAGGAAAATAGTGTCTTACCCATGTCCTCTCGAACACGTGTATATCAAAAAGGAAGCAAAGTAGTCAACAACGCATGCACTCAAAGGAAAGAGCCTACCTCTGTTACAGGCCAATGCAGAGTTACCCACAGCAAAAGTTGAATTTCCCGAGTCTTCCAAGATGCTTTCCACCTTTAAAAAGTTAAACTATTTGCAAGTTCTGGATTTGAGCTCCAACAGGCTAAACTGCGCCGTTCCGTTTGCGTTGTTCGAGCTTCCCGCGCTGCAGCAGGTGACGCTGTCATTCAACGGGTTTTGGTCGGTGGAGGCTTTACAGTGCAACAGATGGGTGTAACTGCACATTTACCGGTTGCAACTGAAGAAATCTCAGAAGGGGATACATGTGTATCACTGTGAGAAGATTTTGTTCTAGGTGGTGTCTTTGGAACCGGTGAATTACTTGGAACAGATGGTGTAGACTGGTTGAATAAGCATTTAGCAACATTGGATCCCTGAACTTGTGATTGCCTGGGTATGCAGTTCTCTGATGAAGACTGAATGGCTGAAGGCTGAGCTACAATTGTATTATTGACAACGTTATCAGATTGTTGAGGAGCATTTTGACCTTGGACAGGAATTTTCCTACTGGATGATCTACCACGAGATTTTTTAGCAGCGGGAGGAGCATCCGCAGTTTTAGTATCCTTTCTCTTTTTGTCAGATACATTCACTATTGGTACTGTCGACATGTTTCCACCCTCGGCATTTGAATTGCTAGATTGAGGCAATAATGGTGTGTTCAATTTGTTTTGCACAGAAGTAGGATTCCCTGGATGAGATTTGTAACTAAAAGTTGGTTGAGGAACCGCTACAACCGCTGATTTTGCAGCAGGTGCAGGGAGGTTTCCACTGGCATTGTAAGCAATCATCACATTATGCATGCCTTGCAACAGCATCTGAACCCGGTTCTTCTCTTGCTCCATAACGACCCGATCTTGATCCAACATCACCTTCTGCTCCTTCAAGCAGATATACTCATCCAGCATCTCACCCAAAGTCAACAAACTCAGGTGGAGTGGCGCGGTTGGAGAGGCTTCTGTTGGGGGGAAATGATGCTTCTATTCACACGCGCTATCTATTTATTTTCTTTAGAAATCTGTTTTTTAGAAAAGCGCTATAACATATTTTTTCTAAATAAAATAACACAAAGAAAGCATTTTTTTATTAAGCGCTCTCTATATAAAACTTTTTATAAAATCTTATAAATAACGCTTCTATTCAAACGCACTATCTATTTATTTTTTTTAGAAAGCACTTTTTTAAAAAAGTGCTATAACATATTTTTTCATAAATAAAATAATACAAAGATAACATTTTTTTTAATAAGCGTTCTCTATATAAAACTTTATTATGGCGCTTATTTAATTAAGCGCTCTTTTAATGTTTTATGTTTTAAAACACAGCACTTATTAATTAAGCGCTCTCAAAATAGCGCTATCTAATGCCACTTTTGGTGTAATATTGTGAATTGGTCTATCGACCTTGTTTAAATAAAAATTAAGTGATGCTTTTTTAATTGGTCTTCTTAGTTATTTTTTTCCTTCTTAGTAAGGATGTATTAATCTTGGTTACTAAATCGATCTTTATATAGGAATAAAATAACACTTTTAATTAAATAAAAATTGAAGTACAGTTTTTAATTAAAAAAAACAAATATTAAATCATTAATTCATTAGTAAAGAACACAAGCATTGAAGCTTTTGTATAAGATTACTAGCGGCTCAAATACTGTGAATGCCGTGCACGGCCTTTCACTTTCTCTTTAAATGATGTTAGTGCAGAGCAATTGATAAGAAGCTTCGGGATGAGACAAGTCAAATATTAATTTGGTTCTGATGGTACGGCCTTTTCATATGTTATTGTGATTGATCATCAAGTGTTTACAGCATAGAGCCAGTACGTAGAATAAGTCATGAATGGTTGAAGTAATTTCACTACAAGTCAGGTGTATAAAACAAGTTCCTTGACTAAACTGGTTATTTGGGCCCACACGGCAAGGTTTGTTTGATATTTTAATGTTTAAGAATCATTCAACGATTGAGAAATTAATGTGTGACGAGATATACTTTTAGATAGATAATATCCTTTTTTTTTTAGTATAGATAATTACATTGATTTCTTTTAGTTATTGGTAGATGCAGTAACTAACATATCATTGTTCTAAGTTATACCTGAAATTAAACTCTAAGTAAATTTTCGAAGTTTAGTGTACTGCAAAATAAATATAAAAAGAAAAAGTAATTTCACGATGATTTGCATAATAGACGAAAATTGCTACTAAACATTAAAAAATTATATATAAATGTTTATTTTATCATTGACTCACAAATTATTAATTATTCAAATATTATATAAATTATATAACGACTTTTTAAGTTTTACTCAAACAGTTATAAATAAAAATATTTAAGTTTTACCTACATTAAATATTTATAAGTAAAAGTAAATTTTTGTTTTTCTCACAATCATCATATTTGTAAGAACAACATCATTAGGTATAAGTCATTTTCCTTTGAGTTGAGAGGAAGGAGACTCTGTTAATATAATTAACATATTTTTCAATGAAAACTAGTGATTAATAAAATTAATAAATATTTCACATCAACAGTATGTAAGCAAATTAAACAACGCTAATATAAATTGGCACTCTAAAATTTACTCTAAGATTAATGTATGATTTCTTCTAAATGCACTTGCTTACTCACGTGTTGGGGGAGTTGAGGGACACCTAGAAGAGTTAACGGATGTTTACGGTAGAATTCATTCGTGGACCCTTTATATTAGAACTAGCACGTAAATAGTTTCAATTTAGGTATTTAATTTAAAAACAGAAAATGGAATAAACAATGGAGTAGGAAGATTTAGTGATTACTTGTTTCTAAAGATTCTTCAATAATTAACAAGCAATAATTTCCAGACATATAAATGCTAAGATGAACAGAATGGATAATTGAGATATTTGCAATACAAATCATGGTTCAACTTACATAACGTTCCAGAATTACAATGCTGAAGTAATCTAACTACGTGGGTTTAAAAGAGATAAACTAAGAAAACTACGCTAATTCTACTCCTAAAAAGCAAAGAAAAGTGGTCAAGAAATTGGTACCCAGCAGATGCGTGCACGGAAGCCATATGTGCAGGCAGAGAGTGCTTACAGAAATGTGAGTATGAAATTTCCGACCCCTTGAAAGTACATATTTCTTCGTATTTATAGAGCCAAATGAAGGTGGTTAATTTTAGTGCATGTGTGTCATGGGAAGGTAACCGCCATCCACTATGCCCAATAGGTGGTTTTAGAATGTAACCTCTCGTAACCGCTCGTTCCACTCTTTTTCTTTTCACTTCGATCCATTTTCCGTTAACCGTTCTGAGATAACTACTCACTACTTGGAAACCTTCAGTAATTTCCATCTTTCGAGCACTTCTCGGTTTGATTCGACTCATTTTTTCGACTATATTTTGAATACGGACAGCTTGAGCTTTTGATACTTCCTGAAACTCCTGAATGTGCTTTTCGAGTTACCTGGTCTTCGAGTGATCCTAACAAATGCCCCCCTAGGAATTCAATCTTGATGCGCATACTACCCAAAGAGATTTGAATTCCTATCGAGAGTTATTTTCGAATCCTCATCGAATGGCTTCAAATAGTGACTTTATATTTCTTCGATGAAAACCTATCTTGATCCTCAAATTTCAGAGTATTGAAACCTCGAAAAAAACAAAAAGTGGACTCGGGCAGCACCAAAACTATAAGTAAACTTGCCTCAGTATTCTGTTATTTGTTATTTCGAGTCTTGACTATAAAGATGTGTCTTCCCATCTTAGGTTTTGACCACAAAAAAACCAGATAAAGGGAAGGGAAAACTAGTGATCCCTTCCTCCAAGAAAACTCAAAAGCCTTCCAGTGAGAAACTTCTTAAGGATGCGATGAAGTCGGTTCCCAAGGTATTTTTATTTTGATTTCGATCACCTTTCCTTCTTTCTTGATTTTTCTAAGATATTTGCTCATCATAGGACGTCAAAATCATCTACATTGACTCCTCTCGAGAAATGTCCAGAGATATACCTCTTGTTACTGGGGCATCTCAACAGGTTCGTCTTTTCACCAGCTTTCATTTTTGTTAACTTTAATCTTTTCTTCTAATCACCTCCATTTTTGTATTTGGTCACGCCTCAATTAAATGTTGCTGAGATTGCTTCAATCGTGGCCTCGATAGAGATCCCTCCTAAGATCGAGGAAGACAAGGTTCCCCAATCGGAACCTTTGGCGAATGTGGAGACCCTCCAACAATCTGCCCAAGGTGAAACTGCTTTCGAGCTAAAACCTCCCTTGAGTCCAAACAAGGGTATATCTCTTTTATCTTTGAACTTTTATCCTTTCATGAGTCTTTACAAAACTATCTGCCTTACACATTGTATTTGTCTATAATAGATTCGATTGAATCTCCCAAGCCTTTCACTACTTCTCCTTCGACCCAAGGTGGCGTCGAATCTTCTATACAAGGGCTTTCCTCGATCCCTTCAACTGACTTGGATTTAATGAGCTTTTTCAATGAAGAGGACGAGGATATCAATAGTATTTTCGACGTTCTCGACAACTGGACGAGTGGTCCATCTGGGTTGGAAAAGGAGAAAGAGAAAATTGGAAGCAACTCCATCTTTCCAACCTGTGCTCGAGTCTTTTAGATCGAAGGCCTATGTAGATGACCTGGATCAAGCCCTCCTAGACCCAGCCTTTAAAGTCGAAGTTGAGCAGATGGTCGAAGACTTGCTTGCCTTCTCTGACCTTCCTCCTGCAATCCATATCGAGCTACAAGAGTTTACTCAGTCTTTTACTCAGTCTTTTACTCTTGCCTCAGATCTTCGATCGAAGTGGTCTACCATTTTCTAGGAAGTGGCTCAGATTGAAGTTGAAAGCGAGGGAGATCGTGCTAAACTCGAAAAGCTCCACGAAGATCTAATCTCCGTTCGGAAAGCTACTGAGGAGATGATCCCTGTTTTAAAGAAGTTACAACAGGAAGAAGTAGATTGCACAGCGTCCATTGAAGCCTTGCAGCATGAGTTGAATACTCTTCGCTCGAAACAGGCTACTTTGAAGACTCAAAGTCAAGACGTTTTGCAACGTCAGAAGAACTTAAAAGAAGAAGGCAAGGTTATCTCTTCGAGACTGGCCAAAACTTTGGAGCACAAGAAACATCTGGAGAGTCAATGTGTTGCTCGAAGGCAAAGCTTGGATGAGGCTTATAAGGCTTTTAAAGATTTCAAGTCCAAGTTTTGTAATAATTAGATTTTTCAATCTTGATTTTTTGAATTTCTCTTTGGCTTGTAATGAACAACTATTTAACATTCTGCTCTCTCATGAAAGTGTTTCAAATATTTTCCATTTATAACTTTGTTCACATTTGAATCGATTTCTTTAATCACGTATGCATTTTTCGAATATGCTTGCTCGATTATAAAGGGACCTTCCCAATTAGGAGACCACTTCTCTCATGAAAGTGTTTCAAATATTTTCCATTTATAACTTTGTTCACATTTGAATCGATTTCTTTAATCACGTATGCGTTTTTCGAATATACTTGCTCGATTATAAAGGGGCCTTCCCAATTAGGAGACCACTTTCCAAAGTGTCGAGATTTTTGATCCATGGGAAGAATCACTTTTAACACCAAGTCATCAACTCGAAAACTACGTGCTTTGACTCTCTTATTGTATGATTTCTCGACTCTTTCCTTTATTTGAACAAGGTTTTGCAATGCAATCAATCTTTCTTCCTCTAAAGAAACCAATTTATCATACATTAAATTCCAATAATCCTCCATAGGTAACTTATTTTGTTTCTGTATATGAATTGATTGCAAGTTAATATCTATAGGAAGAATAGCCTCGTGCCTATACACCAGTTTATATGGAGTAGTCTTCGTGGCATCTCTAGGTGAATTTCTATAAGCCCATAATACTTGAATAAGAGTTTCATGCCAATTTCGAGGCTTGCTCGAGATATGTTTCTTGATCAAGCCAATCACCACTTTATTAGCGGCTTCTACTTGACCATTTGCTTGTGCATAATATGGTGTTGAAGTTATTAATTTAATTCCTCTTGATTGAGCATATTGAGCAAATTTTCGACCTATAAACATTGTGCCTTGATCTGTGGTGATTGTTTAAGGAATCCCAAACCTTGTTATAATATGATCTTCGACAAAATCAATTATGTCCTTTTGCTCGACTTCCTTTAAAGGAATAGCTTCAACCCATTTTGTGAAATAATCTATGGCAACCAAGATATATTTATGATTTTTCGAGGAGGCTGGATGTATTTGTCCTATAATATCAATTTCCCAACCTCGAAATGGCCAAGGCTTAATAATCGAATGCAGTTCACTTGCAGGTACCTTTTGTATTGGTCCATGTTTTTGACACTCCTTGCAACTTTTTGCAAATTCGATACAATCTTTAATCATGGTTGGCCAATAAAAACCTTTTCTCGACAAGATCCATTTCATTTTTTCACCTGCTTGATGTGCTCCACAGATGCCTTCATGTATTTATGCCATAGCTATATAACTTTCATGACTCCCGAGACATTTGAACAAAACTCCATCGAAACCTCTTCTGTATAATTCGCTATTTAACAAGACATAATTGAGGGCTTGGAGTTTAATTTTTCTTTCGATTTTCATATTGGGATTTTGCAAGTATTCGACCAATTCTTTTCTCCAATCTTGTTGACTCGATGAACTGACACTTAGACTCCTTAAATGACATATCAATTCATTTTCGGTATGAATTAGAGAATCGAGACATTCCTTACTTACTTTATACCCTGATGCCACCTGATCCGATTCATTTGCGATGGTATTCGAGTCTCGAGGAATATGTTGTAACTCAACTTCATCAAACGCATTAAGTAACTGCACAGCTCGAGTTTTGAATTCAATTAATTTTTCGTTTAAACACTTATACTCTTGAGTTAATTGTTTGATGACTAGTTGTGAATCACCTCGAATTGATACGTTCCTAGCACCTAACTCTTTGAGAATTTCGAGTCCCGTTATTAGTGCCTGGTACTCAGTTTCATTATTCGAGTATCCTTTGTTTGTTTTTAATGATAACTTAGTCGGGAATCCTTCTGGAGAAATGATTAAAAGACCTATCCTAGTGCCTAATTCGTGTTTCGAGTCATCGAAAAATAATTGCCAGGACTTGGTGGTTAAGAAAGTAACTTCTTCAGTTTCTTTCGAGTGATCTGCAAGAAAGTCTGCAATTATTTGTCCCTTAGTTGCTTTTAACGGCTCGAAAGTTAACGAGTACTCAGTTAACGCAAGTGCCCATTTGTCAACTCGAGAATGTAAAACAGGTTTACACAACATATACTTAATCACATTACTTCGACAAAATATTACAACATCACAAGGCCTAAGATAATACTTCAACTTTGTATAAGCAACATAAAGACTTAAACATAATTTCTCTAAAGGAGTATATCTAATTTCTTCCCCTTCTAACATTCGACTTAAATAATAGATGACTCTTTCGATGCCATTATTATCATCTTGTGCCAGCATGCCCGCAATAGTCGAATCGCTAGCTAAAATATACAACTTCAGTTGCTTTCCTTTAGAGAGTGGTGCAAGCACTGGAGGATGAGCCAAATAATCTTTGATTTCCTCGAACGCTTTCTGGTGCTCTTCATTCCATCGAAATTCTTGCTCCCTAGGAGAGATTGAAGTTCTTTCTTATTCGATGGAGGTTTAGTCTCCATGATAGCTTTGGTCTTGTTTCGATTCACTTCGATCCCTTTCTGGTGTATGAAAAACCCCAGAAATTCTCCCGCAATTAAATCATGGAATATCAAATTCATTGCCCTTTGATAAGTTGCACCTGCGTTTTTTAATCCAAATGGCATCATCACCCATTCATAGACACCTAACGCATCTGCAGCAGCATCTATCATAGTTTCAACAATGGGCATAGGATACTCGTCCTTTGGGGTTGCTGTGTTGAGATCTCAAAAATCAATGCATACTCTGAGTTTCCCATTCTTTTTTATGACAGACACGATATTCGAGATCCACTCAGCATACCTTGAAGTTCTAATGAACTTTGCTTTCAGTAATCTTTCGATTTCATCCTTGATTTTTTCGATTACTTCAGGAGCGAACCTTCGAGGGCTTTGCTTGACAGGTTTCTTCCCAGGGATCATAGGTAGCCTATGTTCTACCAATTCTCGATCCAACCCTGGCATTTCATCATAATCCCATGCAAAGCAGTCTTTGTATTCATGCAAAACTCGAATTAATTCCTCCTTCAATTCCCCTTGCAAGAATTTGCTAACATAAGTGACTTTCCTGTTTTCGACAGTTCCCAGATTAATTTCTTCAAGTGGGTCTTGGGATTCTAGCTTATGTTCTTCATTGGTTGCTCTTTCGAATCCCAAAGGC